AGTTCCTTTGCTCACAGCTAGTGATATTTACTCTTTCTCCAAAAGCACACAGGGAACCAGGGGCCTTAGAACATGTGTTAAATCGTGGCACTTCATTATAAGGTCCCTGTGTAATTGAAAAGAAACCCCCTGGCACAGTATGTTACGTGTTGGACTGTAAACTGCGAGATGGGCAGTCAAACCCAGCCCCTGCAGGAGAAAGGTGAGGCTTTCTGCTCCTGGACAGACTCATGGCCTTGGAGGCCCACAGGGCCAGTTCCACTCTGTTCTATAGCATCGCTATGAGTTGGAATCCACTCATTTGTAGTGGATTTTCTAGGTAGGAGCGCCTTCCCATTCCAGCTGAGTTCTGGGAAGAGGAAGACAGAAGTGCTGCTTCAAAGGATTAACAGGTGCGTATCTCTAGGGGTCGCCTGAGGGCTCATTGTTTTCTTCTCCAGTTGACCGTAAATCTTTAATGCATGGTGGCTATATTTCTCATTAAAAAGCTCATCTCAGAGGATTGAACTTTGTAAAAACCTCACTTTGAAATTTCTGCTCAGGTCTGAAGAAGAACAAGGCTCATATCTGGCAGGAGCTGATGTTTGAGCCTTTTCTGTTCACCCGTCATAGGAACCTTTTGACGGAACTTGAGGAGAGGTGAAGAGGAAGTTTCACCTTGGCTGAGCTGCAGCCTTGGCACTGGCTAAAGAATGTGAGACTCTGCTCTGGGAAGTGGAGGTGATAAGACCTTAGTTTATTTTCATTTTTCCATAATCTCAGCTCTTTTGCTCCTTGACCCCATTCAGTCATAACAAGAAGAGAGGAGTGTGCACTTTACAGCTTCTTGGAATTTTCCCGCAAAGTCTGTTCTCCAAACAAAGGAAAACAAATGTTAAGTATTATATAACAACTGGCAGTTACCCAGTTTTTCGTTTTCATTATTTCAATTTGTGCAGTGTTTTGTGTCAGTTAAAGGAGGAAATGAAACTCAGTCTCTGCCTTGGACTGAAAGAACTCACTCTAAAACAAGATTATATGCAGCCAAATCCCAATCCAAACTCAAGGCCAGTGAGTCCATTCTGACCCATAGATACTTAGATATAGGGTTTCTGAGACTGTAAATTGTTAAGGGAGCTTACCGCCTCATCTTTCTCCTGAGCAGTGACTGGTGAGTTTGAATTGTTAACCTTGCGGTTAGCAGTCCAGGCTGGATTTTATTCTAGTTGTGTTCATCTCTCATCTTCCTTCCCCACTAGAGCATAAGCAATTTGAGGTCAAGGCCAGGGGCTAATGAAAAAAATGTTATGCATGCACATGTTGAACAGGAAAACTAGTAAGAGACATCTTACATTGATTTTAAAGTTTTTCTTATTCATGAAACCAAATATTAACCATAAAAAGCCTACCCAGTCTGCAATATAAATTTGTCTTATCCTTCTAGAAAAGAATAGTCAACAAGTACTTCCTAATTTAAATCTCAAAAATGTCTGGGGCTGCAGATGGATGGAAAGCCAAATTAATATCAGCTAGTCCAGAAGTCTAGGAACCTTGGTCATGCAGTGGGTTAAGCTATTGGGCTGCTAACCAGAAGGCTGGTGGTTCAAACCCAGCCAGCCATTTTGGAGGAGAAAGATGAGGCTGTCTGCTTCTTTTAGATTTATCGTCTCAGAAACCCTAATGAGTTGCTCTGCCCTGTTCTGTAGGATCATTATGAGTTAGAATGAACTCAATGGCAATGTTCTGTTAGGCCAAATGTCCAAGAGCCTCGGTGGAATAATGGGCTAAACCATGGATTGCTCACTCAATGGGACACTTCAACTTTGTCCTGTGCTATATGAGTTGGAATTGACTTGATGGTAGTAGAGTTTTGGCTTTGGGGCCGAAGCGAATTGGTAATCAGTAGAGTTTAGCAAATGGGGAAGGACATACTCCAAGAAACCCCAGACTCACTGCCATAAAGTCGATTCCAACTCATGGCTACTCTCTAGGCCAGGATATATCTTCCCCTGTCAGTTGCTGAGATCGTAACTCTTTATGGGAGTAGAAAGCCTCCTCTTTCTCCCAAGCAATGGCCAGTGGTTGCAAACTACTGACTTTGCAGTTAGCAGATCAATGAATAAGCACTTCACAGCCAGGCTTTCTAAGAGGAGCAAGACAAGACAGGGTTCAATCAATCTTGTTAAGATTAGACAATGACTGATCGATATTTCTCCTTTCTCCTTTTAAAATAAGCCACATTCTACCTACTTACTTTAAATCCTTTATTTTTTCTGAAATCAAAATTACCGTCCTATATGCATATAGAATAATTGTTCAAAATAAACCTACGTTCAAATGCTAGTGAGCTTTAATTCTTTTTAACACGCGTTAGCAGTTTGCCTTGATCTCCTTTTGTATCCATCTCTGCTTCTTAGTCTGTTTTGGGCTTATATAAATATGCCCCTCAAGGTCAAGTTCAAAAGTTACCTCCTGTATCATGCCTTTCTCACCAGTTGCAACTCATTTCTGCTTCCATTCAGCTCCTATTGTCTTTAGGACCCTAATCACATAGTCACTTGGCTATTGCATGTCTGGCTCTGACTACTGGCAACCTTATGCTTCACAGAATGAAACGTTCTCCAGTCCCAAGGCATCTTCATGATTGTTGTTAAGTTGAGCATACTGCTGTGTTATTGTGTCAATCCATGTCATTAAGGTTTACCCTCCTTTTTGCTGATCCTCTACAAAACATGATGCCCCTTTGTAGGAAATAGTCATATTTATATTAGAGTTATTCTAATGCTCATTTGATTTCTGTTTTTAAAATGCACCTACCTGTCATATTTCAACCTGCTGCTACGCCTAGCAGCACATGCTGATACTGAAAATGCACTTGCTGATTGAATATGTCACTGGATGAGTAGAAAAACAGCTCAGATAGTTTCGGTTTATTTTTTCCCTTTTGTAATCAAAATTATATAGACGCAATGTCAGATTATCCAATAAGCAAAGCAAGCACAGGCTTACTTGTGCTTACATACTAATCTGTGAAATTGTTCACTACAGATTAGTAAGTAAGCATAAGCAAGCCCGGGCTTACCTTGCTCACTGGGTAATCCATCTTTGTATACTGTTTGTTATCCATCACTTGAGGACATGAGACACTAGGTATATGAAATTTAAAACATTCTCATGCTCTGCATGTTGTGCTTATGCCCCATTGGGTTTCCATTTTTCAGAACATAGTGAAAAGTTCAGAATTATCAGGTTTCTCTCCTCCTGAGCACCTTCTGCCTAACAGTGACTTGCACCATGAAAGTTTATATAACACGCTTAAAAATAAATCACTTTCTCTCCAATTGAACATTGTGCCAAATAAACTTTCTTACAAGAGAAAAAAAAAAGTATAGGGAGCAGGGAGCTATGGAATATTTGAGTATGTTCATATCTCCGCGGTCTTAGAGTAGAATTCTGCATATCTCCCACGACCTCATAGAAAAGGGTCATTCTCTTTGGATAATCCTGAGGGTATTTTTGTTTCTTCCTGATCTGCCAACAAACCACTTCCTGAAGTAAACTCCCTGATCCGGTTAGTCTGGCTAATTCACGAATCCCAGGGAGCACCGCGCCCATGGCCACCTTTGTTCTTTTCTTAGGTTGCTGCTCATTCTTTCCTCTATCTCTCTCCTCACTAGGCCACCTGGACTGCGAGCACACTGTCAGGGCTGCACACATCGATGGAGTGACACTCGCAGGCCACAGCGTGTGTGTCTGCCTTCCCTTCCACTTTTACTCTATAATAAGGGGATGATCCTTCAGAGATCCAATAAGTGAGATCCCTGCATATAGTTCCCCTTGACATACCAACATTTTAGTGATCCACCCTCCTCTAGAATCTCATGGCACATACTGTCTATATGATTTTGTGGGTGGCAAAGGATTTTTTGTTATAATGCTCTATAATCTCCACTGGGAATTCTTGGGACCAGATATATTTTGAATTTGTACAATTCAGAACATTTTTGATAACACTTTTAGTGTTATACTACTATAACTGCTCCCTAGGGTTTTCAAGGCTGCAAATCTTCACCAGAGCAGCAAGCCTTAGGACCTAAGATTTTAAAAAAGCAAAAGCTCATGAGATGACTACAAATGTGTTCTAATTTAGCACTGATATACTCTATTATTGAAGTTGGGCAACAGTTCTTGACCAGAGCAGAATGATGTGACCATGAAGTCTTCACACCAATTGTGTATCTCCTACATCCCATTGCAATGACTGGAAAATTAAGGAAAGAAAGGCTAGAAGTTTCCCAATACATGGCTTTTGGGATTTTGAAATTTGTTTTTATAATAGACATTCATATTATATTGTTTATGTAACAATAAGCCTGAATAACTATAAGTTATCTCTCTGTCATCAAGCCAGGAGCTAAAAGACTGTTTAATAAACACAGACATAAAAATCATGTATAGTAATTTATAATACTATACAATGGATACTAGTTAATTATAAAATTATGACCTATTAGCATTGGCAGGTACCTTATAGGCTACCCTATTTTCAGCCTCTGCATTTTATAAAGAAGGATTTGAGGTACAAAAATAAGGGAGTTGCCTAAAATCTACTTGTCTTAAGAATATTAGAGCTGGGGCTAGACCTCAGGACTTCTAAACCTTGTTCAAGGACTTTTTTACCATGTTAAAATGGATAACAGAGAGACTTTCAATTACATGGGAAGGTGATAGTGAGGTTTGACCAACTACAGACATTGGCACGTTGTGTGGTTTCCTAGTCTGGAAGGCTGGGCTCTGTGTGTGGTGATTGTTGTTAAATGAGCTGAAGATATCTGTTTAGGGATAATTGATGAAGTGATATAACTTTAAGTGACTGGGTATTGGTGTGATGAGAGAGGTAAAATATTAGCTTCTAGGTCTGCTGTATTTTGATTCTAAATTTTGGAAGTGGAATTGATCAAATTTGATTTTCAATGCAATCTATCTCCCTCCCATAGATGTCCCAGGGATATGCCACTCACCGAGAATTTCCACAGGCCTCCAACATCACTGCCCCTTTCAAAGCAGGTAGGCTCCAGCCCCTCCTCCAGACAGCACCGTATGGAGGCCAGACCACTGACACCTGCTCCGATGATGGCCACTCTGGTCCTCATGTTCTCCTTCCTCACTTACTTCAGGGGAGTATCTTTTAATACTTCGGAGTTTCCAGTAGAAGTAACCAGTTGAGCTTTATGCAGCAGGATTGTCCCCTAACACAGGAAAACAGAGATGCGCATTAACAATATCTACTCTCTGAGTTTTCTTTCTTTTTGTTTGATGTTGTTTTTGACTACCTTTCCTCAAATTAGATACTGAAACAGACTTCTTCTCCTGTTTATGCAAGATGTCAAAAATGGCAGTTACTGAATGCTTGAGCAGGAAGAGCCTTGAAGATCCTCAATTGCAAATGAAGTAATTGGTGCTCTGAGATCCAAAATTACTTCGGCAGAGTCTCAGAGCTAACAATTCTAGTCAGAACTAGAATTCAAGTCTTCTGAAATTTATTCTACTAGACCATTTCTTAAAGGAGCCCTGGTGGCCCTGTGGAGTATGTGCTGGATGCTAACCACAAGTCTGGTGTTCAATCCCAGCCACTCCACAGGAGACAAATGAGGCTGTTTGCTCCCATAAAGGTTTAGAGCCTAAATAGGAGGGTCTCTGTGAGTTGGAGCCACCTGATGGTCGTGGGTAGATTATTAGTAGGCACTTCGAGTGCTGGACTCTCAGGTTCTTACCTTTTAATCACCTTCCTTCCTCTCCCCAGAGAACCAGCAGTTCTCAAAATGGAGGGGAGAATGTTTTTGAACCATCCCTTGATATAAAAATTGACAAAGGGGAGGAGTCTGTATTTTTAAAGTAAAATGTCCCCTTTTCTCATTTTATTCATGATATAAAGCCTTGGTAGAACCTGAAAAGAAATACTGAGTATGGAAGGGATAAGAGGTGAACAGGAGAAGGGCTGCGGGAGCAGAGAAGGAGAGGGCAGGAGGAGGGCTAGCCTGAAGTCCCTGGCTGCCGTTCCAAAGAATGAAAGAGTGATTGATACGGTCGCTGGAGCTGTAAGGTAAAACCCCTGGGAGATTAAGCAAACAATGATTCTTTTGTTTACTTTTGCTTTGGAACTATAGAATACATAAACAAGTTATGCACCTGGACTATAATGAAAGGTTTTATTGTGCCAACAGTAAAAATAACTGAATTTTTTTTTTTGGAAAACTTAGGAGAACTTGATTTGAGAGGTTGAGACAAACTCATAGAAATGTTGAGTTTGCAAAGCTGGTGAATTAAAAGGATAGAATTGTGGGTTCAGTGAGCCTTGCTTCTTTTCTATCTGCCAATCTTGCATCTATTTCCTCCCTCCATTTTTTCCTTCCTCCCTCTTTTTTTCTTGCCTTTCTTCCTTGATTTCTTCCATTGCACTGTGTGCTCATCGTAGGCCTAACATAGTAGTCTCTTGGATTCACAGATGAGAAAACAGTACATTTTCCTATAAACAATCTAATGTAGAGGGGAGATGGGAAGGGTCATGATGGAAATATAAGCCACTGGAGTGATAGAACATGGGGAGGACCACCGAGGTCCATCTGAGAAAAATGGAAGAGAAGTTTCAAGAAGTGAGAATTGTTGAGTCTTGAAAGATGAATAGATGTTCACCATGGGGACAAGAGGCAGAAGCACCGTAGGCAGAGAGAACATATATACACATATGTCTAAAGGCACACACACCAAGGGTAAACCTGATAGTTGTTGTTAGTGGGTACTATTGAGTCAATTCCAACTCACAGCAAGCCAACGAATAACAGAACCGAATGTTGTCTGGTCCGCACCATCATTACAGTTGTTATGTTCAAACTCATGACTGCAGCCACTGTGGCAGCCCATTTTTGCTGGGGTTTTCTCTTTTTGCTGATGCTCTACTCGCTATTTGGCTAACTGACTAGAAGAGAGCCATTTTTGTACCCATCCCAAAGAAAGCTGATCCAACAGAATGCTCAAATTATAGAACAATATCATTAATGTCAAATGCAAGTAAAATTTTGCTCAAGATTATCCAACAATGGTGATAGCAGTACATTGACAGGGAGCTACCAGAAGTTCAGACCAGATTTAGAAGAGGACAAGCGATATCATTGCCGATGTCAGATAGATCTTGGCTGATAGCAGAAAATACCAGAAAGATGTTTAAGTGTGTGTGTGTGTGTATGCAAAGGCAGTCAGCTGTCTGGTTAGTCTTGAGAAAAATGAGCATTCTAGAACATATAATTGTGCACGTGCAAACCTGTACATAAATCAGGAGGCAGCGTGGGAACAGAACAAGGGAATATTGCGTGGCTTAAATTCAAGAAGGGTGTGCCTCAGGTTGTATCCCTTTGCCATCCTTATTCTGAGCAAATATTTTGAGAAGCTGGAGTCTATGAAGAAGAACGGAGCATCAGGATTAGACAAAAGCTTATTGACCACCCTCAATGTGCAGTTGACAACCTTGCTGAAAGAGAAGAGGACTTGAAGCACTTGTTGATGAAGATCAAGGATTACAGGCTTATGTTTGGATTATAACTCAAAGTAAAGAAGACCAAAATCCTCACAACTGGACCAATAGGTAAAATCATGCTAAGAGGAGAAAAGATTGAAGTTGTCAAGGATTTCATCTTGCTTGGATTCATGATCAATGCTCATTGGAGCAGCCGTCAATAGATCAAAAGACATGCTCCATTGGGCAAATATGCTTTATAAGACAACTTTATTTATTTACTTTGCTGTAATATGAGCTCATCTTTATTTTTTCTAAAACCATTTTATTGGGAGTTCGTACAGACATATCATTCCATGGTTCAATCACATCAAGCAGTGTTGTACAATTGTTACCACAATCACTTTCAAAACATTCTTTTTATTCCTAAACTCCTTTATGTCAGCTTATTTTTAGCACTCCCTCCTACCCTCCAGCCACTACTGTACTATCCAGGAAACCCTTATTCTCTTTGCTGTCCCTGTAGGTTTATCAATCTTGGGTTTCATGTACTGAAAAATAGAAAAACATATAACAAAAATTCAAGAGGGTCACCTCCAACGATGTTACACATCTGACATAAACCCAAATATGAACAATACCCCCACCAAAAAAAAAAAGAGAAACTGTTAAAAATCAGATTAGGCCTAATGTGTATGAGAGGAGAAATCATCTGAGAAGGTTTTAACTGTGCAAGTTTATACTTTTGATTTTCCATAGTCAATACACTCTGTTTAGTAACCCCTTTCCTCTTATCCCTCTATTATGGATAGAGCGAAAACACCGGAGGCTTATTTCCTATGGAGGTACCACAAATACATCTTGGGCTCCCACTGTCATTCATAGCCTTCTGCAAACCACATTCTCACAATTTAGGCTATGATATTATGCCCTCCTTCCACTTTAGGATGGTATGATTTACAATCCTTCATTCATTGATGTTGGTTTCTTTCTTCAATGTGGACTTTGTTGATATCTCACATAACTGGCTGCTTGTTTGGAATAAGACTTTAAGACCCCAGATGCTATTATATTTGTTAGCCGGGCACCATCTAAAAGGCATCACCTTTTACTATAGCACCCATATCTTGTGTTCCCTTGCTGAGGGTGAATACTGAACAGGGCCATGATGTGAGAACTAATTGTTCTTTTTTTTTTTTTGTAATTTCTTTTTTTAATCATTTTATTGGGGGCTCATACAACTCTTATAATCCATCCATCCATTGTACCAAGCACATTTGTACATTTTTTGCCATCATCACTCTCAAATCATTTTCTTTCTACTTGAGCCCTTGGTATCAGCTCCTCATTTTTGCCCCTCCCTCCCTGTTCCCCCCTCCCTCATGAACCCTTGATAATGTAAAATTATTATTATTTTGTCATGTCTTACTCTGTCTGACTTCTCCCTTCACCCACTTTTCTGTTGTCCAATCCCCAGGGAGGGGTTCTATATAGATCATTGTAATTGGTTCCCCCTTTCTACCACACCTCCCCTCCACCCTCCTATTATCGCCACTCTTACCACTGGTCCTGAAGGGTTCATCTGTCTTGGGTTCCCTGTGTTTCCAGTTCCTATACATACCAGTATACATCCTCTGGTCTAGCCCGATTTGTAAGATAAACTTGGGATTGTGATATAGTTGGGGGGTTGGGGGTGGGAGTGGAAACATTTAAGAACTAGAGGAAAGTTGTATGTTTCATCGTTGCTACACTGCACCCTGACTGGCTCGTCTCCTCCCCATGACCCTCCTGTAAGAGGA